GAGTGGGCACTACACACCCTATAAAGATGGAGTGGGCATTACACACCCTATAAAAGGTGCAGTGGACATTACACACCCTATAAAGGTGCAGTGGGCACTGCACTCTCTGTGAAAGGTGGGCTGGGCACTGCAGACTGTGTTGCAGGGGCAGTGGGCACTGCCCAGCCTGGTGCTCACCCAGCCATGACCACCCCGTCGCAGCAGTGGACGTCGCACAGGACCCGGCCGGGCTCGTAGCGCAGCTGGCTCACGGCACCCACGCGGTTCTGCAGAGAGGACACAGGGGTTGGTGCTCCCATTCCTTCAGCCACCAAAATCTGCTGCTGGGAAACTCCCAGCTTTGCTGCTGCTGCTGAGAGAAGACACATCCAGCCCAAAAACCCCCCAGCAGCTTTCAGCCGGAAAGGAGGAGCTGCAAAACACAACACCAGCTCCCCTCTCCCCCTTGCTCAAAGCAGGTTCCCATTTTTCCCCAGCACCTGGATCCCTCGAAAGAAATTCCCTCTCACCTTCCAGTTGGTTTTCAGCATGTGCTCTCTGGCTCTGCAGTTTTTGAGGGCGAGCTTCCAGCAGGAATGGTCGGAGATGCTCATGTCCAACAGGTATCCCTCCTCCTGGCACAACCGGTACCACAACACTTCATCTTCTGCAAGGATTTTCCATGTCCTGCTGACCTGGAAATCAATGTTTATGTATGGATTTCTCATAAATGAATAAGGAAAAATTAAATTTAATATGAAATACTAAGTAGTATCTCAAATCGAAACATAGAAATTAATGCAGGCCTGTACTAAGATGAAAGTCTTATTTAAATATATTTGTTAATTCTTTATACACCTGAGTATAAACCCCAGGCCTTTAACAAAAGGCTTGTTTTCTGTGGGTTCTTCAGGAAATAACTGAATTTATACTCCACTAAAACTCCACATAACGTGGACACACTGTCAACCTGAAATATCAGTGACTGGGAAATTTTGACAGGAAAAGCAGCAAGAAAACAATTAAGAGAGAACTGTGAGCTTAGAGCAAAAATATGAATTTATTTTCATATTTGTAGCTAAGAAACCCTCTCAGATCACAGCACCGTATCTCCGAAGTCCCACTGACAATGCCTGATTAGGGGTATGACATTAGTGATTTATAACCTATTGTATTACAGTATGCATAAATAGGAATGAATTATTAAGTTTTTCAAGCAGCCTCAAGTTGCTGCCCATTACAGAGAGAACAACTTCATCACAATCAATTGTGGGCTCAGAATTAAAGATTCAAGAGGTAAGAGCCAACTTAAGTAGCTTTTTTTTCCCCTCTGTAATTCTTAATTTAAAAAAACAGATGTAACCAATGAAAGCCACGACTGGTGAAAGCAGCAATCAATTGTGCTCTGTTTCTAAAAAGATTAAAAGAACTTTCTGAGACTGACATCATTTTCACTAAGTTACAATTAAGCATCTAATGTTCATTTCAGTCCCCAGATTATGCCAAGAATCCAAGCCTCCCATGGACACAAACCCTCCCAGGACCACCTCTTTATATTTATTTGCCATTTTTTCCATAGTCACACACTCAAAAAATGTTCAATATGATGAAAGAAGGGGTGATCTGAGTAACCTGCAAGTGTTTTTAAGATTTGAGACCTACAGAGAAGAGCAGTGCTCAAACAGGAATATCCAAATGCAGCAAAATGAATTTTCTTAATCACCCAGAGAACTCAATAATCCCCCTCCATCCTCTGACAAAGGAAACAACCTGCACAGGGCAAGAACAATGCCCTGAAATGACAGAAGCAGCACTGAGGCTTCTCCAGCAACACACATCACCCCAGAATCAAAGTGCTGAGTGCTCCTGTCCCTAGAGGGACACACTCAGCAACTTCATAAGCACCAAAAAGAGGCAATCCCAAATCCAAACTATTAGGAATTTGCTCTCAATTTGATTCGAAAGTAGGATAAATATCTGTGTGATTGCTCCAAGAATACAAAAAAAAAAACCCAACCCCAAAGCAGCTTTGTGCTGACACACCAAAAGAGCAGCTGTGGTGCAGGAGTGCAGCTCCCCAGGCAGAACCTCTGCCCCCTCCCCAAACAGCAGCACATTTTCCTGACAGGGACAGGCTGAGCACACGCACAGGGAAGCACAGCCAAACCAGGCCAGCTTTTGCCTTGCTTTCCAAAAGAAAAATCAAAAATAAACACACACCTTTCAGTCTGCCAAAACAGACAATATTGCACAGACCTTTCAAGTTTCAAGGTCTTAAAAGCATTTTATAAAGACAGTAAAACAAAAGAAAAGTGGGGGGAGCTACATAAAATTTCAACTGCCTTTTCAACTTTCAGGGGGAATAAAGATCCTATCCTCTCCTGATTTTTTTTCAATCAAATTACAGCGAACCCTGCTGCTTTACAAGCCTGAATTTCCAAAGAGTCCCTAACCCAGCCTTTTCTTACAGCCCCAAACTCGCATGCCAATCCCTTGTAAAACCCCACTGAGCGAGGCTCAGCTGCACGAAATCACTAATAAAGAGTCTCAAGCATTTCACTTTACAGCACCACTGTGAGCTGCAGCATTAAAACCAGCCATTGGCTTCAAGTCAGCTTTATTAGATCTGCTTGACTTGGAGTTTCAGGTGAGGCCCCAAAAGCCAGGGCATTATGGCTTTATTTACATGCACCCAAATGCTGGGTGCTGGAGAGGAGCTGAGATGTGCAAAGCTCTTGTTAAAACTGTTTCCAAATCTAAACTGCACAGAAACTCCTGCAAGGATCAATGACAACATCTTACAGACTTGTTTATAGATTTGGAGTCCTGAATTTAATTTTGTCTTCAGTGTTCCTATTATCTTTTTACAACTGTTCTCAGCAAAGAAAGTTTGGGTTCCCCTGAGCTCCACACAGGGACAGTTTTATATTTTATAGTTCAGCAAGTAATAATGTTCTGAAGGACTTCAAAGGCTTTTGCTGACATAGGCTTTGCTATTTGGTTTTGCCTCTGGGGGATATTTTTTCCCCTAAAAAACCCCACCTCTTCCATCAAATCCAAAATTTCTTCTAATCCCATCTAAATCAACTGGCTCAAATCCTAATGAAGGTTTATTCATCCCTCTGCATCTGATAATGGTTTTTATTTCACTAGGTTTATTTTCTTCCCCAGACACACAAAGGCAGAGTCAAGGCTCATTTGCTGAGACCAGGGGCCTCAATTAGAACTAGCTGGACTTTGAGCTCAGTACAAAAAATAGTGCCAAGTGTTTAATCCAAAGCCATTCTGATGGAAGCTGCTCATCTTTTCTGTTCACAGCCCTGAGCACAAAATGATTTGGGCTGGAAGGGACCTGAAAGACCACCCAGTGTCACCCCCTGCCATGGGCAGGGACACATTCCACTGTTCCAGGCTGCTCCAACCTGGCTGGAACACTTCCAGGGATCCAGGGGCAGCCACAGCTCCCCTGGGAATTCCATCCCAGCCCCTGCCCACCCTGCCAGGGAGCAATTCCTGCCCAATATCCCATCCAGCCCTGCCCTCTGGCAGTGGGAGCCATTCCCTGTGTCCTGTCCCTCCATCCCTTGTCCCCAGTCCCTCTCCAGCTCTCCTGGAGCCCCTTTAGGCCCTGGAAGGGGCTCTGAGGTGTCCCTGGAGCCTTCTCCTCTCCAGGTGAGCACCCCCAGCTCTCCCAGCCTGGCTCCAGAGCAGAGGGGCTCCAGCCCCTGGAGCATCTCCTCCTCTGCTCTCACTCCAGCTGCTCCAGGTCCTTCTCATGTTGGGCACCTCACAGCCAGGGGCAGCTCTGCAGGTGGGGTCTCACCTGAGCAGGGCAGAGGGACAGAATCCCCCCTCCCTTCCTGCTGCCCCAGGGCAGGGATATCCTTATCCATCCATTTCTCTGCTCTCTCTGGGAATCACAAGGAGGATGGATGATGGCTTTTGCCCATAAACAACCTTGATGCAAAACCATGCTCAAAAAAACACATTCAATTTTCTTTTTGTAAATGTATAAACACTAAAGCCTCAACAGCTTGACAATCCCAGCAGCCCTGGAGGCAAGCAGCTGAAATTCTTGATTTATGCACGACAATTCATCCCTAAATTCCTAGAAACAGTCTCCCTTGCCCTAGATACATACACAATTCCTGTGTTGGTAAACACTTCTAAACCTTCTCTAAGATGAAAACCTAACAGGTCAAGGGAATTTCCCACTGATCTGTTCAGAAACAAAACTGTCAGTGCTGCTGAATTCAAACACATCCCCTCATCACCAAGCTGAACCATGAAGGCCAGGTCCCCAGGCCATGGTAAAATTAATGTATGTACAGGATCAGCCCCTGATCACACAAGGACATTTCAGTTTGTCACATTTGTGGTGTCCCAAGGGATTGTTTCTCCTTTCCTTGAACATCCTGACCAGGAGGAAGGAGTGACTGCTCCCAAACCTGCTCACAGTCACAGGAGAGCCACTCATGGTACAGATATTTCTGCCAGTGGTCAGAACACCATCAAAAAGCACTCAGAGGGCAAAATTCTGCATTACTCTGGCCTACTCTGTGCTACATGAAGCCCTGGATAGTTTTTTCCTTGAATTCCAAATGTGGGATATCAACAGGGACCGGTCTGGAGGATGCTACTGAATGTTACCCCACTATTGCAGCTCCAGCAGAGCTCAGGCACTGAGGACAGTTATTTACAGGCTTTTGTGTTTCCAGAGCCACACAGACAGGTTGTGGTTTACAGTTCTAATTCCAAAAATCAAAGAAAAGCTGTGGGGGAGCGAAGGAAAGGGAAATATCAAGGTGAAATTAAAGTTCTCCAGACAGTCTGTGGTGTGATTAAATCTCAGAGAGGCTCTGCAGTCAGGCTCCTTTCCTGTTAGCTGGTTACCAATTTGGCATAAAGAACTAAGCAAACAGGTTTTCTCCAAAGGCACTCACATGGATCATGATGCCAATTCCACCAACTGGCCCAATTTCACTGAAATCCCAAGGCACCTTAATAAAAAAAATCCTTTCTGGGATAACACCATAAAGCAGCAGGGTTTTCCATGGAACAGAAGAGGGCTCCCCCCCTTCAAAAACAAAACCACCAAGAGAAAAATGAAAATGCTATTTATTTTTATGGCTCTGCTTTTTATTTGAACACTTAAAAAGAAGCCAGCTCTGCACTGAATATTCATCTGATTGGGAAAGCCCTGTAAAACACTGGGCACTTGCTCAGCTACCTGTCAGCTGCCACAAAGGAACAGTGGCTTGGAAAGAGGAGAATAAGAAATGTGGAAAATTGTCTGTGTTAAAATATATCTTATGAGAACAGGTTCGAGCTAAAAATCAAAGTGAAGGGGAGAGAAATCTGGTGAAGCCCCACAGCAGCCAATCCTTGTACTGTGCCATGAGGTAAACTGATCATGCAAAAGGAGGGGGGGAAAAGAGAGTCAAAGAATAACCTTAAACTAATCCACTTCAAAAATGTAACCCTGTTCCATGCCATGGGCTGTGGCCTTTACTGATGGCATATCTCTACCCCAAGGGACAGAAACTTGAGCATATCTGAAAGCTTCCCAGTCCTGGACAGCATCAAGAAATAATCCTAGAGAATTCTCCCCTCTGCAAGAGCAGCCCTGCACGAGGAATTAATTTTCTTTAAACAGTCCCTGTTCCTAAAAGGCATTAGCAAGTCAAAGATTCAAGCAATAACCACTTGTAGCTATTTAACACTACAACAAGCTCATACTGAACATTAAAAGCCCAATTTCCTTTCAAAGCCTGGGCCATTTGCAGAATATTTGAGTTTAGTTTACCACCCTCAACAGACTCTGTCTGTCACTTCTCAGTTTTCACACATTAACATTTTTCTCTTGCACTCAAACCATGCCCTAGACCGTCTGTAACACAAAGAATAGTTTTGGTTGGATTTTTGTGAAGTTGCAAGAGGTGCTCTGTATATAAGAGTTAATGAACACCAGCCTGGAACCCTGAATAGTGGCCATAGGAGAAGCTGGAATTATATCCACAATATTCTGCTTGATTTCACAGGGTAATCAGCACTTGCCAATTAAGTTTGAAGAATCATTCAGGGAGGAGGTTCATCATTCAGTGTGTGAAGAAAGGAAATAAAGAAGCCCAACAGTGTGGGCTGAACAACCCTAAGCAGAATGAGGTGAAAGTGAGGTGAGAGTTAGTAAAGTTCTGGAAGAGACAGGCAGTTTACAACTACAAGTAAGTTATGGACCATGCCTGAGTACACCCTGCTGACAGCATCATCTGAAAGTATCAGAAAAAAAAAAATATAAACCCCTTGCAGGGCTGGGGGGAGCAAATCAGGGTCATTTCAGAATTTAGCCTCACATGGAAATACTACAGACAAAAAGTTACTACTCCAAGGTCTGTGGTTCAATCCCAGGCTGGAAAGTGAGAGAGGCAGCTCTTGCTTAGCACTGCCAAGTGCTGAGTTCTAAACACTGCAAGACACCCACCTGAATCAAAAATGCTTCTAAACACATTCAAAATATCTTGATCAAAATATCTTTGCGCTATTTATTTTCAATTTTAAGGCTTTGCTGCTGCCCAAAGCACATTTCATTTAACTCTGCTCAAGTAAATCCAGCTCATGTACCATTACATTTTCAATACTCAGCTTTGGAACTGTCTCCTGTAAGTGAAAGCACAAAAAGCCGAGTTCCTGGGGCTACCACTCACTTCCCTACATTGAGTTGCCTGTTTTTTCACTATTTCTGCCAGTTTTAAGTGGTATCAGAGCAGCAAACTGCCAGCAGCACCTACCTGAGCACACCTTCCCAGCTCAGCCTTGCCCAGGTACTGGAATATCTTCAGTGCCAGCTCATAAGGCAGCTGCACATCGAAAAAAGGAACCTCATTGATTTCATTCTGGAAAGGAAAAAGGAGAAGATCATTTGTGAGGCTGGTTTAACACACAGTTTGACAGCAGGAGAAGCTACCATGGTATGGAGAAGGAACGGTGTGTCCTCAGGGCCATCACATGAAAACATCAGGAGTTCTTCTGCCTCTCCCCCCTTTCACAGCCCTTCAAAGGGCAGAGAAAGGCAAGACACAAGCTCTAGAAAAATAGTTTGGCTAAAGTGCCAAAAAGACCCAATAAATAAGCACTTTGAAGACATATGCCCATTATTAATTTCACTTGCAAGGTTTCAATCCCATATGATGGAAAAACTAACAAATATTTTAAACAAAACTGAATGGAGATGATGATGGTTTCTTTCATTACTAACATAAAAATGTCTTTTTAATATGAAGTGTTCCTCCTTTAAGTGATTAAGCATCTCAAACAAAAATTTGAAGCCAAATCCATCAATTTAAGCTAACAGCTAAATGCAGCACACAGATTTTTCCTAGATGTATTTTGTTTGGTTAATTACATAATTATTACATCTTCTTTCTGCAGTTATCTCCTCTCTTATCCTGAATGGATACCCAAAATTTTTATACTCTACAATAGAGACAGAGCTAAATCAGCCGATTCTGACCATTTCTAGGTCACCAGTTTTGCTTCCCCATATTTTCTCTGGCTTCCGTCCCCTCCCAAGTGTTCCTGATCATTGTCTATCAATCCTCAAGCACAAAATCAGCTGCCCAGTTAAAACCCATCTCCACTGTTTGCCTTCAGAAGCTCGGGCATCCCAAAGCAGGATCATTTCCTGTCTCTTGGCACTTCCCTAACCCTGGTACCTTGGTTTCTTTGTAGGTCTCTCCTACAACTACTCCTTCTCATTCAAATCTGGGCCATTTCCAGTACCAAAGAAGAATAAATGGGATATCCTGTGTTTATTTAAAGCAGAGTTACTCATGGAAATCACAATATAACGTGGTGGTGTGGTTTTTAAAGCAAAAGTTATTCTACACTAGGCAAATGTTTAGACAACACAAATACACGCAATGAAATCAATCGGGTCTTTTTAGCAACAAAACATCACTTTACACACACTGGAACCTCCCACTTGTTCTAAAGTTACTTACAGCAGGACCTGCAGCTAATCTTGCTGCTCCCCTCCCTCCTCATCCACAGTTTCCCTGCCCAAACAGCTCCTTTTCCCTGCCCTGCGCTGGGGCCGCTGGCTCCGCTCCCCGCTGCGCATCCGCAGGATCTGTTTTGCTTTCTTGTGCTGCAAATCCCATCCATCTCCAACGGGGACAGCAAAGGAAAACACAAAGGGAACCTCTCTCCATGGCCACATGCAGGCAGGCTCCGAGCTGGCCAGATGTGATCCCGCTCGGCTCCAGCAGCCACGGAACCGTTCTGGAGCCACAGGCTGCGCAAACAAATCAGAGGAGCCACTGGGCAAGGATTGTTAGCTCCAGGCTTAGGAGCTCAGGCACGGCACCACCATGGATGTGCTCCTTCCAAATTGGATTTGACTCGTGTCCAAGCAGCAGATCCTGGGCTGGCTGGATGCACACAGAGGTCTCCCTGCAAGGACACAGCAGTGCTGACACAACGCTCAACACCAACGGTGCTCTCAAGGAAAGGAGGGGAAAAGAGCAAAAAACAGCTACACAGGCTTTTTATAAACTGAGCTGTAAGAGGGTTTATACCCTGCTTCAAATAAAACCCTGAAGTGCCTTTTTTTTCTACTTTGGTGCTGCAAAGGGGTCCAAGTTTAAATGAGGAGTAGCTGCAGAAGAGACCTACAAAGAAACAAAGGAATGGGGGTTAGGAAAGTGCCAAGAGGCAGGGGATGATCCCGATTTGGGATCTGTCTGAGGTTCTCAAGGCACAGCACAAATTTGTACTGATTCCATGCTAATGCAATCCTAACATTAGGGGCAGATCCCACACCCCAAAAATTCCTACAGCTTGTCCTCAGCACAAGGAAGAGGGGATGTTAAGTCAGCACCAGTCTGTCTAAAAGTCTACTGGAATGAGTCCAAAACTCAAATATAACCAGCCCCTCTGAGACAGATTCGGGCTCCTGTGTGCTAATGGAGCACTAATTCTGTAAATGGATTAATTTGTGCCTTGCAGACAGAAATTTAATCTGTTCCTTTTAATTTTTTTTAAGCAAAGAGTAATTAGTCATAGTGAGGTTAGTGAGAAACAAGAAAATGGGTTTCCCCCCAAGTTTTCCTATACTGTAAATAACATCTCTGTGGCATTTAGAGGATTTACCAAAATAACCTTTATCTGGTTCAGAACTGTATTTAAGACTATTTCCAAATTAACTCCTTTATTTCAAGAATTAGAGCTTGTTTTCTTACTACGCTGCTGTGTCACAAAGCAGGATATCCTGAATTACTGCACCCGCATCAAGCTGCCTGAGTAAACAACAAAAAACTTAAAGAGGAAAAAAAAAAAAGTATTATTTCACAGAGGCAGGGAATATTTCGAGTTGGAAAGGACCCTGGAGGATCATCGAGCCCAACTCCTAGCTCCGCACAGAGCACCCCAACAATCCCACCCTGTGCCATTACACAGGACGAGCAGATTTTGAAGGGTTAGAACTTTGTAAAAGGGTGTATATTCGGAAGCTGAGGTTATAAATAAGCACACAGGAACAGAAGTTTTACGCCTGCTCTGCTCTCCGCCTCCCGGTGATTGCTCAGCCCCTCTCCGTGCTCCGGCACCCGGCCCCACCGCGACCCCGCGCCCGCCCTCCCCTCCTGGGGCCCGGCCCGGCCCCGGCACATCCCCAGCACCGACCCCTACCAGGTCTCGGATCAGCTGCCCCAGGAGATCGTCCCCATCTCCGGCTCCATCCCCCGCGGGCTCCCCGGCGGGCCGTGCGGGCTCCGGGCTGCGGCGGCCCGGGGCGCCACCGGCCAACAGCCCGCGGGCCAGCGCCAGGTACCCGGGCTCGGCCGGGGGCTCCCGCGGGGTCTCTCCCGGCCTCTCCCGGGACTCCTCCGGTGGCTCCTGAGGGGGCTCCTCCCGCCGCCGCCGCTTCGTGCCCCCGGCCCGCTCCTCCCGCCGGCGGGGCCGCTCCCGCTCCGCCGGCACCGCGGCCATGGCGGCGGGGCCGGCCCGGCGCGGCCCGGAAACCGCGCCCCGCGCCCGCGCGTTCCGCCGCCACAAGGTTCCGCCGCCGCCGCCGCCGGGACCGGCGCCGGTGCCCGGGAAAGAAGCCGGTGATGGGGCCGGGGCCGGCGGCCGGGAATGAAGCCGGTGTTGGGGCCGGGGCCGGGGCTGTCATTTTGTGGTCCCTACACGAGGGCGGCGATAGCGGCCTGAGAGCCCAGCTTGGCTCTGGAGAACCGCGGGCGGCCGAGGGAGGCCGCGACAACAGGGTCGGTCTGGGCTCTGGGCCGCGCTGGGAGCCCTCAGCCGTGGCCGGGGACAGGGCAGGGTCCCACTGGGCACCCAGAGCCCCGCTGGGAGCCCTCAGCCGTGGCCGGCCCTGCCGGGAGCCCTCAGCCCCTCACAGCCACGGCCGGTCCCGCGGGGAGAAGCCGCTCCCACGAGAGGGTTGTTGTGCAAGGAAGTGGCCGCTCTGAGTGACCGATGTACCTCTCTTAGGGCATTTTTGCCTTTCTCTTGGCCACGTCTGAAGCCGGGCGGGTGGGCAGGGGCGGCCCCATCACTGCTGTGCTCACCGCACCTGCTGGGAAGGTGTTTTGCTGCTTGAATCACCCCCGCCTCCCGCAGCCACCACAGCCCTAGAGCTGCCATTTTCATGGTGTTTTGGGGAGGACACGAACTTGTCCCAGTTCCTCTCCAGTATCGACACACCTCGAAGCTCAAAGGCTGCGTTTGAGTGATGCTGAACCACGGCTGCAAAGCTTCTGCTGCTTCAGCCAGTCCAGGGGAGCAGAGAGGCCACGAGTACTCAAGTCTTCAGTACAATTCCTGTGGAGCCCTCAAGGAACTCAAACAGGTAAGTGACATGTTGGTGTAAGCCAAACAGCTGCTCCTTCTAGAACAGACTATAAAACACAGCCCTTGCTCTCAGCAGCAGCTTGTGCAGTTACCCCCACCCTGGTGTCCACCCCTACCTTCCTCACTGGCCACTTGCTGGTTTCTGTCCTCTACAGCTCATTGCTGTGCTGTTTATAAAGCCCAACTTAATGAACATGGTGTCCAGGAAAAGCCCAAGCTACCCTGTTTAGGGAAGGATCTCCTGTATGTAGAAATCTTACCAAAGACAGGTGGGTACAGGCTGGCCATGCCCTGGCCATGTGTGCTGGACCCCAAAACCTCCCTGCCCTGGGCTGAGCCCCCAGCAGGGGCAGCAGGAAGGGAGGGGGGATTCTGTCCCTCTGCCCTGCTCAGGTGAGACCCCACCTGCAGAGCTGCCCCTGGCTGTGAGGTGCCCAACATGAGAAGGACCTGGAGCAGCTGGAGTGAGAGCAGAGGAGGAGATGCTCCAGGGGCTGGAGCCCCTCTGCTCTGGAGCCAGGCTGGGAGAGCTGGGGGTGCTCACCTGGAGAGGAGAAGGCTCCAGGGACACCTCAGAGCCCCTTCCAGGGCCTAAAGGGGCTCCAGGAGAGCTGGAGAGGGACTGGGGACAAGGGACTGAGGGACAGGACACAGGGAATGGCTCCCACTGCCAGAGGGCAGGGCTGGATGGGATATTGGGAAGGAATTGTTCCCTGGCAGGGTGGGCAGGCCCTGGCACAGGGTGCCCAGAGCAGCTGGGGCTGCCCCTGGATCCCTGGAAATGTTCCAAGCCTGGATGGAGGGGGCTTGGAGCAGCCTGGGACAGTGGGAGGTGTCCCTGCCCATGGCAGGGGTGGAATGGGATGACATTTAAGGTCCTTTCCAGCCCAAACCAATCTGTGATTTTTGTGACTAGTTTTCCCTACAAAACAATCACTTGGAGGGACTTAGAGGAGGGGTCTCCCAGGGGTGCACGTGCTGGTGAGCCCTGCCAGTGGTGGGATTGCAGACCAGCAGGATGTGGGGCTGTTCCAGGGAGGATGGATGGGCTGGGATGATTTGCCAGGAGGTTTGCAGCAGCTTCTTTGCAAAGCAGGGTGGGAAACGGGCCAGTTTGGGGTGATCCTGCCCCACAGAGATCCCCCCGTGTCCCTCCCAGGGCTGGTGTGTGCAGGGAGCCCTGCCCGGGGCTGCCAGCCCTGCTCCTGTGCCCTGGCAGCTGCGGAGGTCCCGCGGGCCCCGGGTCAGTGCCGGGGGCTGTGCGCTGCTGCCTCGGCCACCCGAAATGTGATCCGAATCCGTAATGCTGTGGGTGATGAAATCGGCTCCGGCTCTGTGTAATCCCCTCACTGCCCCCCTGCATCTCCTCGCTGTCCCCTCCTCCAGCCCACAGTCATCTGCAGCCTCGCACTGTCCCTCTATCCCCACGCTGTCCCCTCTGTCCCACAGTCCCCTCTGTCCCCACATTGTCCCCACACTGTCCCCACTATCCCCACAGTTCCCACGCTGTCCCCTCCATCCCCATGCTATCCCCTCTGTCCCACACTGTCCCACCTTCCCCACACTTCCCCTCTATCCCCACACTGTCCCCTCTATTCCACTGTCCTCTCTATCCCCAAACTGTCCCTCCATCCCCACACTGACCCTTCTGTCCCACCTTCCCCAGTGTCCCCTCTATCCCACATTGTCCCCTCCATTCCCACACTATCCCCCCGTTCCTGCACTGTCCCATCAAACTCCCACCCTTGATACCAGAATCTTCCCCCACACAAGCACTGTTCCCTCCACTCCCTGTCCCACACTGTCATTCCAATGTCCCTGCATCCCGTGCTGACCCCTCCATCCCAACACTATCCATCCATCCATCCATCCATCCCTCCATCCATCCCCATGCTGCCCCACTGAACTCCCACACATCCTTGGATACCAGAATGTCCCACCCCACAAGCACAGTTCCCCCCAGCCCCCCCCGCCAATGTCCTTCTATCCCCGCACCATCACCCGCATCCCTGTGCTGTCCCCTCCATCCCCACGCTGTCCCCCATCCCTCTGCCGTCCCACCGAGCTCCCACACCACCGCAGGACACCAGACCGTCCCACACCCAACCGCTGGCCCCCCTGTCCCCCACCCCCGCGCCGTCTCCTCGCTCCCCCCTCTCCGCCCGCGGCCGAGCACCGCCCCGCGGGGGATGATGTAACCCCCCGTCCCCCCCGTGTCCCGCCCGCGTCCCGCCCGCCGCACACTCGGCGGGCTCGGCGGCGAGCGGACGCAGCCATGTGCCCGTGCGCGCTGCGCGGCCCCCCCGCGCCCTGCAGCCCCTGCGGCCCCGGCCGCGCCGCCCGGCCCGAGGCCGCCGCCCGCCGGGTCGCCGCCCGCCTGCGCCGCCTGGGCGATGAGCTGGAGCAGCGGCGCAAGGCGCGGGGCCGCGGCCCCTCGGCCGCCCGCCGCCTGGCCGCCGTGGCGGGGCTGCTCTGTGCGCTCACGCCCGCGGCCGCGCTGGCCTGGCTGATCCGCAGGAGGAGCCTCTAGGGAGAGGGGCGCTGGACGGAGCGGGGAGCAGGCGGGACGCGCAACAGGTGGGCGCGGGACGGGGCGGCCGGCGGGGCTCGGGACGGGCGGCGGGAGCGGGGGCTCGGCTCGGTCCGGCCCGGCGGAGCGCGCTGTCCGCGGTACCCGCGCCTCGCCGGGCTGCGGGGGCTGATCGCGGCAGCGCACCGAGCCACGGGCTGCCCGTACGGGCATCCCTCTCCTTTCCCTATCCTTCTTCCTTTTCTAATCCTTTCCCCTGTCTCTTCTTCTCCCCGGACCGCCGGTGCCGGGTCGCACCGACCTGTCGCTTTCACCTCTTCCCCCGTCTCTTCCATCCCCACTTTCTCTCTCTCCTCTCCCCCTTTCCCAGGACTTCTCAAACGCCCCCTTTCCCCTTCCCCAAACTTTTCACGGCTCCCACCCCCGTGGCTCCACTCCGCCCGCGCCACCCGTGCTCTCGTGGGGCAGTTTGAGCTCCGTGCCCGGCAGCGGCACAGGGCAGCTCAGGGGGAGCCGAGCTGGTCCCGTGTTGCCCCGGCTGTCGGTCCCGGGAGCTGGAGGATCCCCGCATACCCGTGCCTGCCAAACCTCCAGCCTTCTTTTGAGTGGAGGAACTTTGCCTGTGTCGTGTCGTTCCCTGGTGGGCTTTAGACCCACGGGCACCCATCGCTAAGATGGAAAGTCTAGTGGGGCAGCCTGGGACGTTGGCTCTGTGTTTTGGACAATACCTTGCCCAGTGCCAGGGGTTATCCCCGAGGGGACTGGCCAGGAAAAGCACCCAAGTCCAGTTACTGCTGGTTCTGTGCTCCAGAGCCACTGAACAAATTAGCAGCAGGGAATCAGGACGTTCCTGGTTCTGTAACCTTCCTGTCATCTGGTGACAGCTCCAGGCCTTGTGGGGACAGTTCTGCACCCTCAGCCCTGGGAGCATTCAGGGATACTGAGTATAAGTGAGGTCACCTCAGGGATTTTGGGTGCTCTGTAGTGTTCTTTGGGTTGTGGATTTGTCACCACAGACCTAAGGAGCATGGACTTCTCTTTTGGGTGCTCTAAATTGCATCATAAACACCTCCCAGCATCTGTCTGTGTTCAGGGAACAATTTCAGCGCATGTCTAACTTTCAGCGTGCACTGATATCCCACCAGCTTGGATAGGGGTAGTGTGGGGAGGAAGTCAGGTTATCAGAGAGTTTAAAAATGAGGTTTTCCAGCAGGTCTGTGTGTTTGCACTGCATGTGCACACGGGGGGAGGGCATTGTTGTCATCCATCTGAGCCACAACTGCTGAGTCTGGCGGGAGGTTCCGCTGGTCACCTTTGTAAAGCTTTCTTTGAAACAAAAACACAGCAGAACTGTGGGGTTTTGATGAATCAAAACCTCAATTTCTATGAAAACAGGCACTGGCTGGTGCCTGCAGGGCTGTGCCCAGCAAAGTCCTCAGAGGTGGTGTCAGTGGTGTGGGACTGTGGTCAGGAGCAGAGCAAACACATCTCTCCCTCCCCGTCAGTTTGTGGCAAGTTTGGTTCCAGTGTTTGGAAGCAAAACGACCCGTCTGCCTTGCTGGCCTCTCTGAGCACAAACACGAGCTGAAATCCAAGGGGGAGC